TTAGCATGGTACAAATGATTATGTTTTCATAGGTACTGCTCTTTGTATTACAGTGTATAGAACATGAGACCCTAAAAGCATTATTCTTTTATCTCCAGAAATTTTATCGTGAAGGCTATATGGAAATGATCAACAAAGGCTACTACCTTCCCAAGGATGCAATCTCTGTTATATCAGCCAAGGCTTCCAGAAACATCATCAGTGATGTAAGTTTATGTTTCCCACTTGCTCCAGTTTGTCTTTTTGTTGCTTCACCACAGTAAATGTAGGGTTATTTTTGAATTTATTTTGAAACTGATGCATTATTTCTATCCATATTTCCAGTACAAATACAAGGCTGGTTTCCGCAAGCAGTGTGGCCATCACATCGGTGCTCTCAGTGTGAAAGATGATCCACTAATTATGCTGGCCGCTAATGCAGGGAAGATTGCCAGCGACAATGTCTATAAGAAAGACTTTAACAAGACCAAGACCAAGTTCCACCTCCCAGTAGATATGCTGACAATTGAACTGGCCAAGAAATGCCAGATCCAAGTCAACGACTTCAACTACAGAACTTACCTGCACCAGTGGACGTGCCTGCCAGACTCCAATGATGTTGTGCAGGCTAGAAAAGTCTATGATTTGCAGAGTGATGTAAGTACATGCTATTGTTGTAGAAAGCACTTTTTGGATTTTAATCGATTGTTCAATTATTTTCAGAACATTTAAGCCTCTATCTGTCTCTAACTGATTAAATAGACCTTTTTACATCCATTTTGAGTCATCCCACAGTTTGTCAAATTCAAACCATACATGAACAAATTCTGTATTTAATTAGGTTCAAACTGATTTTTGTGTTTGTAGGCTGTGTACAAAGCTGATCTGGAGTGGCTCAGGGGATGCGGCTGGTCACCTCAGGACTGTATAGATGTCGTCAAAGTGAAGCATGCCCAGACTGTCCTCAATGAAAGGCTCTACCGCCAACACCCAAGTACGGTCAAGTTCACCAGTGTCGTTGACCTCCCAGCTATTGTCTTGTCCAAGCAAAATGCTGAAA